AAAAAAGACACATGGTCAAAGTGTAAAGGAAGTCAAAGTGTAAAGTAAGTTTCAACCTACTAAATTTTATTCAAATGGTTTTTTAACTTTTAGCCCCGTTTGGTACATATTAAAATTTTATTCATATTCTTTTACTCATTTTCAACCACATAGTTTTCAATAAAATAATATTTTCCATCACATCAATAACTTTTCCTTCATTTTCAACCACAAATTCTCCATCGATCTACTATTCCAGAATACATTTTTCCAAAATAATGTGGCTTAAACACACCCTTATTTTTGGAAATTGAAATCAAGTTTATAGCTCCTTAGTGTTCATGGACAATTTCCATCTACACTAATGTTCCACGTGTCAAATTATTCTGAAAGATACAATTTTGTCCTTGTTTTCATTTAGGTGTGGGTCGAGGTGCCCCTCCAATAGGGAGGCGCCACTTGACCCTTATGTGAAACATTATGGGAAATGTTATGTACCCATAGCACTACTCTCTCATTTAAGTGTTACCCATTTTACTCTTCAAAATTTTAAACATATGAGAGTTTAGTGTTGGTTTATCTTTGCGTGGATATAAACTTTATTAAGTCCCTGTTTGAGTCACATTAAAATTTGTATTATCATTTTTCTACTCATTTTCAATAACAATTCCTTCATTTTCAACCACACATTCTCCATCGATCTACTATTCCAAAATACATTCTTTCAAAATAATGTGGCTCAAACACACCCTAAGTTGTGAAACCTAATTATTTTAACTGTGCAAAATTCGTATGCGAATTGACAAAATCTCATTAAGATAATTTAGGAATTTACACTTTTCCATCGTGTAAATTCTTGTAGTGACTGACAATTACTCATATTAAGGTGGATCTCTATGAATCTTGCATGTCTTTTGCGGTTTATTTTCCTATTGCTATTTTATATCTCTTAGTGGTATAAAATTATCATTTCTCATTCTCAACAGACCCTACCTTAAACTGAATATCATGGTACAAAAACTTAAAATGGCAAGAATTATAAATTAACTTATATGTCATAAGTTGAAGACTTCGGATGTAATTTTTTCCAACACGTAAAGACCATAAATCGAATCCAACTCACTTTTGTGTTTCTTTCACTCTCTCTTTACAGAAAGTTGAAGAAAAATTCTAATGCCTTGGCTTTCTGGTTCTCAAGTGGCAACGGAATGATGAAATTCTTCTAAGGGTGCCTTCTTGGGACAAAACTATCTCAAGTAGGATGGACCATTTATCGATGGTTTCAATCGCTTAGAAAATGCTTTATCTTTTGAAATTCTATACCCACCTTTTTATTTTTGATTCGCGTTTCATTTTGCCTACCACATACTTTTTAAATAAGTTTAAAGAAAAGGTTGAGAATCAAAACAAACAAGTCGACTTATGAGATTTGACTCTCATACTCGATCGTGTCCATTAATTGACATAAGAAGTGCATTATAAACCAATTTTTTTGTGCTTTTTTATTACTTTACCAAAAGCCATTGATTTCCCATCAATTGTTTCAGACAATGAAAGTGCCGCTGTCGGCTCAAGTTTGATTAACCTATAATAGAAAATATTGGCTTATTCATTTTTCTACATTAGAAGAAAAGGTTCTGTCGAAACAATTATTTCATTTTATAGTTCCTCAGTTAGTTCCTTAAAAAAAATAAAAAAATCATACTACTTGTACAATATTTTTTTTTTATGATCTTAGTCGACAACTCATACTAGCAACATCACATGCATCTATTTTAAAAACTGATTTTTAAATTAATGGTTCAGAGTTTGATAAATTCAATGTTGTCAACAACAATTGTACAAATAGGTTAATTTTTATTGATAACCCGGCCAAAATATGTGGTTCACTTCTTTTGCTATTTCAATAATGTTTTTTGGGCACCCTTTACACATTATCACAAGTATTGATGTGATGAAGACACGTCACAATAGTGAGCCTTACGACAAATTTCTAGACGTCTCCGTGTTTGAAAATGATTATTTTCTCTCATTCTAGGATAAGATAGAACCCTAAAAAACTCTTTGTCATTTCTCTAGGTTCTCGTCTTCTTATCTCATTCTTCGATTTTGTGTGAAAATTGTGCAAAAGAAGTTTTTGGTGTGTAAATTGATAGATATAGTAACCTCCTCTAAATGAGAGGCTTGAGTATTGTACATTTGAGAGAGTTGTTTTGATTTTTGTTCTCTTTGTTAAAACTTGATCTACTAGTGGACTCGATCTTTATCCTTAACTAATACATAATGGAGGACTAGGCGTTCGTATCAATTACTGAACTTCCAAGATTTAGGTCAAAAAAATTTGTCTTCGTCATTATCTGTCGCTTTTACTTTATGCTTTTGGTGTTCATTGAGTTTTAATTTGAAACCAACCGAGGTGGAACAATTGAAAAGATAATATTGGAACATCTATTTGAAAGAAATATGGTGGCAGAATTCATTTTGGTTACGTACTACTAATGGAATCCAGATGAGATTTTGGTGTAAGTTCAACGAATGAAATGATTAATTTGATTAATCATCAATTGTAAGAAGATCTCGTGTTCGTGGAACAAAGGCCAAAACTTACATAAAAGGTGATAAGATCTTATGCATGACGTAACTTCACCTTTGTTGCCTAATATAAGTTATGCTACACAAACAGGGTCAATGACAAGTTAAAAAACAGGAGGACACGTGTCGATATATGATTTGACAGTTGAAAAAAACACAAACACTCAATCAATTGCTGACAACGAAAGGAGAATTTGTACAACTTGTAATTAGTTTTATTTTAATTATATTATATTGAAATTTCCAGATTAGTATATGCTGGGAATATTGTGTAAGGTCTCCTTATAAAAAATAAAGTTATTTGGTGTTTACTGTTTTGTTGCTATAGGTAATGGTATACTTGTTGAAATTAAATAAATTATTTTATTTCTTTCCTTTTTCTTCTTCTTTTTTTAAATAAAAAGCAGATCTGGAAATTCTGATTTGTGGCCTTTTTTAAAATAAAAAGCAGATGTAGAAGTTCTGGTTTGTGGCCTGGTTCGCTTCCCACTTGAGGCCAAAAGATATTCAATAAACTCGAGGGTTTTGCTACAAGTACCCGAGGGTTTGCACCCCAGGTTATCCAACCCCATGCCCCCTGGGGGCCCGTCGATTATTTTATTAGCCTCGGGCCCCACCTCATTGTAAGGGGGGCGGTGGCGTAGGGTAACCAGGGGTGTGAACCCCCGGGTACCTATATGATTATATCATTTTTCTAAACTCAAGCCAGTTGCTTGCCACGTGTTCGTGGGTCAAAGGCCAAAACTTTGTACATAAAAAGTGATTAAGATATGCATGATGTAACTTCACCTTCGTCACTTGATATAAATAATCAATTGTTACCGTATTGTAACTTTTTCATTATGACCGTATTGTATCTTGTCGTTTCGTGTGCTTGGCTTACGATTTACAGGAGCACCCATAGAATCCCACGTGCACTGGCGGACCCGTGTTCCTGGGGTCACATGACCCACAACCTTTGATTTTTTTATTTTTTTAAAATTCATATTTGATATCGATTGAAATCTGATTTTTAATATAAAGCAAGGTCAACAATTAATTTTAATAATATATTTCATGGAATTTATAACTATTTAACTTTTTTCAAAATTTACTAAAAAATTGATTTTAACCTCTACCAAATATGGATAAAATCAAAATAAATTTGAATTTTTCTTTTTTCTCTTACTCTGTTTTACTTTTTTCCTCACGTATTTTAACAAAATCTTAACATTTCTAATTTTTTAAAATTTATAGATAATTTCTTTACAAATTATCACATTTACTACAAATCTTTACTTTCCAATCAAATTTTCAAGTAATTAGAACCAAAATTTGCATTTTCTCCTATCAAACTCTGAATGTGTCCAAACTCATTATATCCAATTTGAGTTATATTTAAAATGAATTGTGTTTATATGATTGATTATTAATATTAAAAATTAGTTATATGTTTTTCCTTTCAATTACTTGAATTGATTGTTTTCATCAAAGATATTATAAGATTTTTAAACGTAAATATGCATTTTTTTGTGATAAACAAAGCATTAATAAAATGAATCTTCGAAATTAAATAGATAAAAATAATCAGCAAAATATTAATGAAGAAATGTTTTTTAAACGTAAATTCGCATTCACTCAAGTCAATTATAAATCATTCAAAAATCAAGAACAAAGTATTCGATTTGTATAGAGTTTGATAGTGTCCCTAATTCAAAATGTCCGTGTCCGCCCATGTCCCCGTGTATAAATTCACAACTACTTTTTCGACGCATTTAATTCGTCTTTACTCGAAAACATACCTTGCAATCTTTATCACTTTATACCAAGTGCTCTGAATGACTTGAGGAAATATCAAAAATAATGGAGCAAGCTGAAAACGAGAACAATCGGAACTCGTCAACTGTGCTCCATGGAGCAAGCTCCGACCTGGAAAAGGTTCTGTCGGACCCCAGTTTATCGGGTTTGAAGCGGCTCCGGATGGCCTCCTGGATTGAGCTGAATATTTGATTGATTATTAGTAATGAATATAAGTTATATGTTTTTACTTTCGATTACTTGAATTGATTGTATATATCAAATATATTATAAGATTTTTAAACGTAAATATGCATTTTCTTGTGATAAACAAAACATTAATAAAATGAATCTTTGAAATTAAATAGATAAAAATGATTAACAAAATATTAATGAAGAAATATTTTTTAAACATAAATTTGCATTCTCTCAAGTCAATTATAAATCATTCAAAAATCAAGAACAAGGTATTCAATTTGTATAGAGTTTGATCATGTCCCTAATTCAAAATGTCTGGTCCGCCCATGTCCTCGTGTATAAATTCACAACCACTTTTTTGACGTATTTAATTCGTCTTTACTCGAAAACATACCTTGCAATCTTTATCACTTTATACCAAGTGCTCTGAATGACTTGAGGAAATATCAAAAATAATGGAGCAAGCTGAAAACGAGAACAATCCGAACTCGTCAACTGTGATCCATGGAGCAAGCTCCGACCTGGAAAAGGTTCTGTCGGACCCCAGTTTATCGGGTTTGAAGCGGCTGGCCTACCGGAGGACCTAACTCGACTAGCTACTGTTTCGACTTGCTGCACCTGCAATTATGGTGTACTTGATAAACAACTCCATGTCTATTTCTACTAGAATATTTTCCGGTCACCTTGGGAATCTTGAGTTTGCAGCGGTGAGCCTTGGCAATCAGGGGATTCAGTTATTCGCCTACGGCCTCCTGGTACGTGCACGATGACCTTGAATGCATTATTGTACTGTTCAATCATATCGAAGTACAATCAAGTTTTCGATATTATAAAAATTGTACACTTGTCAGGTTAGTGCAAAGAAATGAATGTGAAATTCAGAGGTGGGTTGACGATATAACTTAAACCAAAAAACTTTCTTCTCTCTTAACGGAATAACTCGAGCTCTTAGACGAGCTCGATCAACAAACACATATGCTAACGTGGGTTGTTTGCAGCTAGGAATGGGAAGTGCAGTTGAAACCCTATGTGGGCAAGCATTTGGTGCGGGAAGATATGACTTGTTAGGCGTTTATCTTCAAAGAGCAACTGTGGTTCTCTTCTTCATGGGTCTCCCGATAACCCTAGTCTACATATTTTCCAAACAAATCCTTGTCTCCATCGGAGAATCCGAAAACGTGGCATCACTAGCAGCAGTGTTCGTCTACGGCCTCATCCCACAGCTCTTCGCGTACACAATCAATTTCCCAATACAAAAATTCCTCCAAGCACAGAGTATTGTAGCCCCAAGTGCTTACATTTCATTGGCTACTCTAGGGGTGCATTTACTATTGAGTTGGATTGCGGTGTTCAAGATTGGTTTAGGGGTGCTAGGGGCATCTTTGGTATTGAGCTTATCTTGGTGGATCATTGTTTCGGCCCAGTTTTTGTATATTTTGTGGACCCCAAAATGTAAGTCCACTTGGAGTGGGTTTACTTGGGAGGCTTTTACTGGGCTTTGGGAGTTTGTGAAATTGTCTATTGCTTCTGCTGTGATGCTGTGCTTGGAGACTTGGTATTTTCAGGTACTAGTGTTGGTTGCAGGACTTCTTGAGAACCCTGAACTTGCCTTGGATGCACTCTCAGTCTGGTAAGATTGCTAGCTTCCTTAACTATTTTAAACAAACTAATTTCAGCTCTTTTGTAAGTTGTACGTACCATATTCAAGAGAATATTATTAACTATTCTTGACTTGATTTTCACTTTGTGCAGCATGTCAATAAATGGTCTGTTATTCATGGTTTCAGTAGGGTTCAATGCAGCTGCAAGGTAAGTTAATTTGGCACACCCTAATCATCAAATTTGTGCGTCCCTATACTTATATTTATTGGGTAAAATATTGAACGTGATTAAACTTTATTTACTAAATTGATCAATGAGCTATGAACTTGTCAATTATATTGTCCAGTGTTCGTGTAAGCAATGAGCTTGGAGCAGGGAATCCCAAGTCGGCAGCTTTTTCGGTTGTCATAGTGAATCTTGTTTCTTTCACAACCGCCGTAGTGGTTGCCATCATTGTATTATCACAACGCCACGTAATTAGCTACGTATTCACCGGCGGTGAAACTGTGGCCAATGCAGTCTCGGATCTGTGTCCATTCTTAGCCGTCACTCTTATTCTCAACGGGATCCAACCGGTCTTGTCAGGTACTAATTTTATCAAGACAAACACTAGCGTATTAAACTCACACTCTACTTTTTCTTTTCTACTTTTCCCTTCTTCTTTTTCTAGCTTTTTCGAATCTTAGATCACGTTATTTGTTGTTGTTTAATGCAGGGTTTCTTTAGTTAAAGATAATAAATGTGTTGATCTGATCTCTAATGAGTAAAGTGCTGAATTATTTAAGTTTTAAAAGTGGGATTAGGTAATTTGATGCAATGATAGGTGAATTACCACGTTGAAATTGTCCATACTCCACCAAGCCTTATTGGCAATTGACGTCCACTAGTGGCCCCCAGGGCACATCTCTAAGTGGTAAAAGGGGAAGGTGGAAAAACTCAAACTTTGCTTGAGACTATCGCGTCAAGGGTTCGAATCCTGAAATATGGATTTGGCATTTCGGTAAGTGCAAGTGTACAAACAGCCTTCTACCCTGTACTTTTGGAGGCATAACCTGCGATTTACCTCCTTCACCAAAGTCCAGGGCAGGTGGGGGCCGCCAAGGATGTGGTTCATCCTTTCCTTTAATTGACGTCCACTAGTGTATATATAAAACTTGATAAGTGATATAAATATGAGTAGGGATATCAAAGTTAAAAAGATAAAAGATCGAGCGGTCGCTAAGGGTCGAATCGAGATTAAACTGGTAGACTAAAAAATTAAATAAGTTGAAACAAAGGTAAAATCAATTTCAAATTGCCCGGTTTTTGCCTTGTTTTGTAACTTCTTAAACAATTTTGATAATTTCAATTTTACATGTAACTGAATTGAATTTTCGGCCACTTATCCAATTTTTCAATCGAACTATCATATCGAGTTTGGTTCTTATTACATTGCTTATGATATCTCGTTTGGTACAATATACTCGATACAATTAAGGGAAGACGTACGTGTGGTATCATTAATTATATCTAATTCTATTCTAACGTACTAAGTAAGATGTTATCATGCATGTATTTATAGTAACCAATGTTTTTCACATGGTATGACTGTGGAANCATGTATTTATAGTAACCAATGTTTTTCACATGGTATGACTGTGGAAATTAATTGAAGGGGTGGCTGTTGGATGTGGATGGCAAGCATTTGTCGCCTATGTAAATGTTGGGTGTTACTACCTTGTGGGAGTTCCAATTGGTTGTCTTCTGGGCTTCAAATTTAACCTTGGAATTAAGGTACAAGAAATTAACCCCCTCCCCTCACTCTATAAGATTGTGTCATGTACTATAAAAATTCATATTTGTTTTTTATCACGTGTTGAATATAGGGAATATGGTCGGGAATGATAGGAGGAACAATGATGCAAACCATCATTTTGCTCTGGACAACATTTCGAGCCGATTGGAATAAAGAGGTAAAACTATTGAATACTGTATAGTTTACCTTACTAAAGAACACTGCTATTCTTATAGAAATATCATAAACGATTATTGCAAAGTAATAAATAAATACCGAATTTTTAGGTGGAGAAAGCAAGAGAGCGTTTGGACAAGTGGGAAGAAATAAAAGAGCCTCTACTCAAGGAGAAGGACCTAAAATGATTATATTGTTATAGACTTGTACCAAATCTCATCTGCATGCCTGCATTTAATGATTTTTGTTATTTTGAAGTACAAGGATTCTTCCTTAATTGAGATCTTAATCGTTGATCTTGTAATAGGTTAATTTTTCTCATCCAATGATTGGCTTATTAATTTTCGTCGGAATATTCAAACATTTGGTTTTCTTTTGTCGTGTTTGTTCTTTGTTAAAATACTTATAATTTAATTTTTAAAAAGAAGTGACGACAAAATTTGAAAGTTTAAGATGTAAAAGAGTCTCTTCTTAAGAACAGAGAAGTCACTGAAAAAATTTATATTTGAGTCGTGATATCTGAGACGTGTTCTCTTAGGTATATGTTATAAATCATTGATCTTGATGATACAATCGATACATTTCAAATTTCAAAATACGAAGTAGTGATTTGTCTAAGAAGGTGATGGACTCCAATTGAATCTTATTCGAGTATCTTCTTGCTACTAATTGCTGAACAAACAAATCGAACACTTCAGGAATCATGCCTAGCTGGTTCCTTCTAGTCGACCTGGAGGGTTCAATTTCGTCTAGGCGTCCTGTTTTCTATCGACTCAAGACTCATCCTACATTAGCTTTACCCGGGTTATGAACTGTTACCTTTAGGTAGATGAGCCCGTAAATGCATTGACAAGGCCGGATGTTGATTGCTTAGGTATCTTCCTAAACTATTCAAATTAAAAAGGAAGAAGAAAACAGAACTTCGTGATAAGTGAATTTTTTTACACTTATTCGGAACCTAAAGTACCGATATTTGATATTTTTTTGACAAAATATATTCTAAATTATTGTATTTTATATTTAATAGATGAAACTCTATGGATAAAAAAAAGAATTAAAGGAAAGAAGCAAAATGTGGCCAAAAAAAAAGTACAAGGGCTAACTTGTATTATATGAAAGAATTGAGGACGTGAAAACGAGCATTAATTTAATTGGATATTGGAATTAGATGAGCCTCAACTTGGACTTTTATTGTATTAAAATATTGGTGGTTTATGTTATATATACACATATATATACACGCACGAATGGAAGGAAGAAAAGGAGAATTGGGCAAAAGTTGGCTGCTGCTGGAGAAAAATAAAAAGGGCTGTTGGCTGTAGAGAGCAGAAGAGAATATACACGCATATAGAGGGGAAAAAACAAAGAATAAGAAGAAGAGAGAGAGGCTGGATAGAAACAGAATTGCAAAAGAAGAATTTGATTTTTCTTCCATTAAAACACGCTAGAACAGCTTTGGAGAAGAAAATTAGGAATTGGCTACTGAAATTTAATATATATATATATTGTTAGAGATATTCTTTAGTTTATCCTATGTAATCTTTTGTAATCTTACTTTCCATAATTAGAGTTTGTAATCTTATGTAATCTTCAGCTTCTATTCTTAGGTTTATGTAAAATTATATATGCTGTCTTTTAGTATTGAAATAAAACATGCCATATATTTTCCTCCTCCAATTCTCCTTTATGGTATCAGAGCCAAGATCCTGACCTACTTTCTCCACCACGGCTGCTTCCCTTCAACCTCAATCATGTCTTCTCCCCATGGCTACTGACAATCGACCCATTACCATCCCCGACGAACAGGAGCCTGCTAAACCGTTTACTGTCATCAATATCTCAGCCTCCAATATTATTGAACTCACACCCATCAATTAACTCTCGTGGAAACTGCAACTTGAGGCTGTTCTCATTGGTTATGACCTCTACAAATTTATTGATGGTTCTCACCCATGCCCTTCTCCCACTATCCAGCAAAACAACGTCCCTCTTCCGAATCCGGATTTCTCCACCTGGGTTCGCCAAGATAAGCTGATCTTCGGTGCATTGGTTGTTTCTCTCACACCCCCTCTCATTTCGCTAATTCAACAGGCGAAGACTACGCGAGATGCTTGGACCACGCTTGCAGACACATATGCCCGTCCGTCTCGTGGTCACATTAAACAAATTAAGGATCAAATCAAAACTGCTGTGAAGGGTTCTCAGACAATCACAGATTATTTACAATTTATCAAAGCTCGTGATAATGAATTGGCTGCTCTCGGTAAGCCTATGGATCATGAGGATTTAATTGACAAAATTCTGGATGGCCTAGATGATGACTACAGGCCTATTATTGATGTGCTTGAGGGTCGTGAATCTCCTGTCACCTTTGATGAACTCCATGAGAAATTGATCAACAAGGAACTCTCCTTGCGGCTTCATCAGTCCTTCGCCTCACCTCTCCCTGCTTCAGCGAGGTTTTATTGTCATCGAGAGAGATAATAAGATCATTAGCAAGTAGTAATAAGTATTGTGAGGTTCGATAGATGATAGAGATATACCTCTATGTTTAGCATGATTTTTTTTATTTTTATGTTTTAGCTCGTTTAATACTTTATTATATGTTGATATCTTTTATAAAGATATAGAAAAATCACATATAAGATTATATTTAATTGCTATCAAGAAAACCTTTTAAATAAATTTGAAATTTCGACCAACTCGCATGATAACAAATAGTCATTTTTATTGTTGTACTAAAAATGAATTAAAAAGGGAGATTCTACATTTTAGCAATGCATCTCAAAAATTTAATAAACTTTTACTTTAATTTCTAGTACGTAATAAATTAGACAGAGTTATTACAAATCATTATTGCTATTCGATTAAGGGTATTATTAACTTTAACTCAATAAAATACGTAGTTCTCGTAAGTTCGACACTCTACACACTACTATATTACTTGATCACGATCCCGCAAGTGAACGAGATCGTAAACAAGTAATAAAGTAGTTAATAGAGTGTCGAACTCACGTGGACTACGCGTTTGATCGAGTTAAAATTAATTACAAATTAATCAAACAGCAAACAAATTTTATAATTTTTTTAATACCAATCCCTAAATTATCAATTAAACTAATGAAAGTGAGTAAATGTGCTTTTCAAATATGTGAAATGCATTGCTAAGATGTCGAATCTCTCTTATTATTTATTTTTAGTGTAACAATTTAAGTGACAATTTGAAATCATTTATGTTGGTTAATGTTCTTAATTTAATTGAAAGCCCCTTTTGATAGCGATCAAATATATTCTCATCATGTTACCTTTCTATCTCTCGATAAAAGATGTAAACATGATAAATGCATTAAAAAGTACAAGAACACATATTGAAACCATATAAAGTATAGATGTATATCTATATCATCTATCGAACTTTACAATATCTTCTATATATTAAAAGTGGCCATGTAACGGAATTTCTTGTTTTTAACGGAAAAACTAACGGAATTTGTTGTTTTAACAGACTATGTAACGGAATTTCTTGTTTTAAACAGGCAGCTGCACCTTCTTTCAGTGTTTTTATCATAACTTTGTATTCCGATATCCGATTGCGGCGATTCAAAATGCGTTGGAAAGCTAACTCATC